AGGGACTATCAGATCTCAGTGTACTTCAGATCGCCCTCTGTTTATATGAATTCGTTAACGGATGCTGCCGTAATTTGCAAAATAGGTGGCACACACGTGGGCACAATGATACATCAAGATAGGTACGCGCAACTAAGTTTACATCATCTGTCAAGGGTTACGAGCCGGTTTAATGTCGCCTGTCTGGAACCGCGTTTGCCTTCTTTCAGAGTGCACGGTGTTAGTTCCAGATTTAGATGGAGTCAGAGTAACGGGTTACTGAGCGGTTGGGTGTAGACACAAGCCAGAAAAGTGGACGACGCGACTAGGACAACAGCGTCAACGCACAGTTGCGCGCTTGAGTAACAGATCGCATTGCATGCGCGTCGGTCTAACCTGCGTGCACTGCCGTAAATGTGTGTCTGAGAGTGACGTACATGGATAGCTCCGCTTGATGTTGGAGTTCCGGGCGTACCATCTTTCCTTGAACCCAGGTCATTGGTTGGCTCAGTCCACGGTAGACACAGCGGTAAACTATAAGCGACACCTTTAGTCTGAGTTTGCTCAACAGAGGAGAACCTTTAGCTTATGCATTGGCAGACCTCGTCTTAGTGTCCTAGTGGTTCAACATATGGGTCGCATGCGCAAGGCAACGCTTGGACCACGTGAAGCGCTTTATGCGATGTGTCGACACATCAATGCGATAGCCATCACAAGCACACAGTCTTATTCCACTGGAATTCACATATTAATTTATAGTTTTCTTTGGTGCAATCTGCCCGCATAAGCACATCTGATGCACGATGGGTACGGATAAATTTAGTCACACTGTTGCCAGTCTTCTCATGGACTGCAAATTGTCTCTGTCAACCTGCTCACCATCGGTGACGTGGAAGTCAGTTTTGTGTACGGCAGTTATAATCACGCACAGATGAAGGAGGTCTCTAGACCAAGTCAATACCTGTGCCATTCGTGTGCATATTAAGGATTAGGAACAACGGTTATAAAGGAGGTTAACTTCTTCCATGGTCCTTGCAGAGAAGATCGGAAGAGAAGGATGCGCGAATGAATAATATAATTGATGAGGCGAAACCGGACATCCAAAATGTGCCGTATATTTCACCGTTATCTACCCATGGAAGTTTCCATTGAGGATTAATACGACTGTAGCACGCACTACAGTTGCCAGATTTGTAATTTCACTAGTATAACGATGGAACCACGCTCAAACCGAACTACGTCGCACGAATTGCATGTAAATGTCGCTCTTTCTTGCTATAAACTGTCTGGGCAACAAACGGTTGGGACAGGAGAATTTTTAATATAGTCCTGTGACCGTGCTTCTAGAAGGATGAATCATGTACAAGATTAGAATCCCGACTAGGTTTGCGATGTGAGGTCGGCGAGCGGAAGCAGATAACCGTCACATTAACGTTAATATCAGTGTGAAGGTAGCGTGACCTTGATTGAGAAAAGTGCAGGCAAAAGAAACGAATGCACAACGCAATTTGCTTTAGCATGTAATCGTCTAAAGCACGGAAAGCATGTCAATCGGCTCGGAAAGTGGGAATAGGGCCACTGAACCATCGAGAGGTAATAATCCATGTGGTGCTGGAAGTCAATGTTCTTTTGAACTTTATAACTAGGTTGCTCCAAGTTACCTCCGTGTTCTCGTATCGTATGGTCCCTCAGTATTTGTTTCAGGTCCCAGAGGCCGCAGCTAATAGTAGCGGCACTCAGATGTTCACGCTCGGAATGATTCAAGCATGCATACTGCGGTGACCAAGTGAACCATCCAAGCGTTCCACTTCTATCAATCCACCAACTACTTGGGGTCGTTCGGGGATATCAGTATCCTCTGCAACGTTTGTAACTTGAGTGGCAGTGGGGTATAAGAAGCGCTATATCGCAGTTTGCTTGTAAATCATGATGGCCCAGTGGAATAAGCTACTGACTGGCGGTTCAAGCTGCTGGTGGTCGTGGGTTCGAATCCTGATGGATCCGATGGATGCTCTCTACTGATGATGCCCAACTGGTTGAAATTGCAGTTTAGTGCTTTTCTGGGAATGTAGACGACCATCTGATTTGGAAGCTGGCTGCGAGGAACTTCAATTGATTCTAACCAAATCCCCTACTCATGAGTACTTGGGGTCTGTGCTGTAGCTAGCGATTACGATGCACAGTCACCTTAGCATCGGACATAGGCACCATGAGCTTAAATTAATGACTGCGGCTTCAGTATCGGCCGTATTATTATGAACTGGGATTCAGACTGCCCGCCGTATAGTCTAATTTGCTGATAACTGATTACTCTTTGGAAGCAGAAAGATATCAAATCTTCGTGTAGCTACATCATATATCACGCAGTTATAAAACACATGATGTAGGCATACCCTTGATATAATTTATATCGGTACATTGTTTGCCCAAGAATCCCTGGAATTCCGACACCGACTTCGCCACAACTATGGGCTGCGGCAGGTTGTTCCGTAGATTCACCACTCACGGTTCGATACATATTTGATTGGCGACCCGTTTCAAATCCGGTACTAAAAGCTTGTGCCGTTGTCCTCGTGTACTGCTTAGTGTGCGCATATACCCAGCAGCGGCGTCAACATGGGGTATTTAGTGAGATGTAATATCCAGTGCGTCATGATTAGGTCAACCCGGAATCGATGATAACATGGGGTTTAAAGCCCTAGTCTCTTACACCGGTCTTCGTACAGCACACCTCGTAAATTGATGGCCACATACTGTACCCGCTCAATTCTGTCATCATCGCCTCGGGTGCTGGGACAGTATGCGGGTGAGCCGTACTCTAGCATTGGTGCAGTTATTGAGACGAATAGGCGAGTGGCAATCTCTTCGGACCAAATGCAGAAGCTGCGTTTGAGCGTAGGGTTGGTGGGAACCGACCGGAACTGGAACTGCAGAGATTAAAGTTGAGGTGGAGAGGTTAGAGATTAGACAAGATGGCCAGCGTACGCCACTTGCCCTGATGGCTGATAGCACTGCAACTACGCGCCCACCGTATGTGAGCTAACTCAAGACCGCAAGACGTCCAGCTCGTCTGTCGAACTACGCGAGAGAGAGAGAGAGAGAGTTGTGACTAATTGTACTATTTCAATACCGTGTCGTTTTGTGTCAACTAGAAGTTTGGTCTAAGACAAGCTTACTTTTCTTTGAATTCCCTCCCCTCAACCTAAGGCACAGCGAACCTCACGCTCAGCGAGCTGTTCAACCTCCTACTATCCTTCTGTATCGCTACCGCAGCAAGGACAAACATGGGAACCATATGGAATCCGTTTGCACTGTCTTCCCAAGCAGCTACATCTGGTGCGGTCCACAACACTAGAAGGCCTATTAGGTCGGTGTGGCGGTCTAGCCACGCAGTGGGCTGCTTGACGACGGATAGTCCTCGTATACATGAAAGGACTACCCACACAGTCCATTCTCGGGGTGGGCTACGTATCAGCCTAAGATTTCCCCGGTTTGCCTAAGTCCGTTGAGTAAATGCTAGCTAAAATCACTATTTGGAGGTTTATTGGTGTTGCGCTTCCCAACGCTGAAACTCCAACTTTGGAAGGAGTAACACCGGAACATTTCCATTTCGGAGACGGTCCTTGTGACCGGAATGACCGAGGTCTACTTCCAAAGGGAACCGAGGTCTCAATATAAATTGAGTGTCGCAATTCAACCACACAGCGGGGACTACAAATCCAACTTTAATATCACAATTTCATTGTATCCTTGGGTACTCAGTGTGAAATGTTCAAATCTATGTTGAGTTTCATTGGATGATAATATTTTGCTGGTGCTTCAGCTGGTTCCCATTGTCCGATCGCAATGTGTGCTGCATATATCCGTTCCCCTAGTCAGCTACGTCCATCAATGTCCTTTCGATGGTCAGTGCGGAAGGGAACCATTCACTGTACGAAATAAAACTTCGCTACATCCATCTATCTTATGGAACAACAATCCGGGCTCCTGCAAAAATTCACGGATTTTGCGGAACATCAGAAAACATCTATAACTCTTCACCAGCTACACTGGTTTGGTGATTAAGCTGACCACTTTTTCTTGACATTAACACTGAGCGTTTCCATTCCTGGGTTTTTATTTGTTAGTGCGATATCCAGTCGTTTCGTTACAGTAACTTAATGTTAGTACTCTTTTCGAGGCGAAGAATACCCGCCATGATAGCTCCTTGTGTTTTACTTATGGAGTGGCTGGAGGTAGTTCGTGCACCCCAGACTACGATGGATGCATAGTATATATGTGTAAGAATGAGCCACCAAATGACCATTAGTTGTCGTGTCAGCATCGCAACTGTACTCCGATTTTACCATCCAGTGCAGCAGCTGAATGTAGCTTGCTACAGTAGGCGGACTGGAAAGGAGTCGTCCTCACGCTAGATGGGAAACTCTTGAATGTCTACAATCCATCACTTACGGTGGAATGCCGGCGCTAAGCACAGCTTGAAGAGAGGCTGATCGCATTAGTATATGTGTTTCAATATTTCAACAATCATACTTAATATCAATATTATTAATATTATCATGGTCGACTGCAAACCGCTTGTATACACAGGCGGTCAACTGTTGTATAACTTCCCCCGCAGTCATCAGTGCACGCCTATCGTTCTGCGAAAGTACGAGATTAAAATTGTGTACACACTCAGCGTATATGCATTTATCGTGTACGCTGATGCTAGCAGCTTGCTGTGTGCCGAAGCTGTAGGCAGTGCGACAAGGGTTATCTACGCGCTCCTTGTATGTGTAGGCGCCTATTGCCTGATCACAATCCTATTCGAACTGATAGCGGCAGTTGCTGGAACTTCCCACATCACACACACATTGAACGGTTGTTATTAAAACGGGGTCGTTACCTGCAACGAAAGACCTATCGGTTTACAAGTACAGCAAGATCCCGTAGCAGTGGTGCGGATCGTTTTAGTGACGTGTCGATGTTTGACAGATAAGACGTTTAATCACTGTTCTGAGTTGGATCAGCGTGGCAGCTGGAACTTTGGTCTCAGCACTCACCCCCACCAGTGGACTCTAATTCCGGAGCGAATAGTAATCAAGGGTATCAACCGAACTGCTGGTAGGCTAACTTCAAGGCCATTCAACACGAAGTTGATTTTATTGCACCGGTGTAACTGGCCGCCAATTGTGAATCTGCACATCGCTACCACTTCGTTCGTTGCGCCTGATGGCTTTGCCAAAATTGAAGGTAAGATCTAAGCGACACTTTGTGAGAGACGTTTTCGATGGGGTGGGCATGACAAATATTAGTTAGTCGACTTGGTTCTGCACTTCTTAAGTTTACAACTATCAATGTTTTGATAACTTATATCCCACAAGGGGGAGTTCAATGGCTTTTCCGGACGTCAGAAAATCTTTATAAGTCTAGGTACAACGCACTCCAATTTATACAGAAACAACACTTTGGCGACTTGCATGAATTTACCAATAGTATTCCCTCATACAAACATGTCACCTAGCCCACTAGATTCAGGATATCAAACAAACCGTCTTTATTAGACCTTGTGTTCATGCTCGACAAACTATTGATGGAGAGTCCATTAGGTTTCAGCGACGATGTAGTCATAACATTTGACTATGTTTGCTAAGCACAGAATCCATCTGAAGACTTAGAATTAACTCATACCACCACGCGCTCCCACTTCCTGACAGAACTCCTCGTGGCATCCACTTGGGGGTTCCTGAACAATAATCCGCTTGACAACTTTCGGACAAAGTGCGCTGAAAGGCATAGCGCTATGGTCGACGGTGTAACAGAAACCAAGCCCCTTTTTGAAGCAAAAGTGCTTTCAGATCTTAGCAACAGCATTTAAAATGCATCGCGATATGAGATGTGACGTTGCATCGCTACAAGACTTAACTCGACTTAAAGAATGCGAGCAACTTCATGACCTATCATTATTACTGTACCACATTTGCTCGTCTGGGTAAATTAACTGTTCAACAGTGCCTAGCCAAAACGTTTCTAGCAAACAACAAACTACTATACCGGCATGCAAATAGCCCTCGCAAAGTGGTGGTTAGCATCTCTGCACTTAACCCAACAGACGGTAGGATACAAAGTGCCAACGAAGCAGCCAGTGCCCTACGCCCACAACAGGCTCTAATTTTTGAACCTGCAGCCTGTCCCTGACACATACCGTAATCCACTTTACTGACTCCGGCGTTTACGTACGTTAATTTCCATCCAACAACTATGCTAACGAAGTTGCCTTCGTTGTGCGGCCATAGATATCCGGGAGTTGACAACATTCGTCCGAAGACAATGAAGGCTGCCGCCACTAGGTTAGCCGAGCCCATGTCACAGTTCCTTAAAGATGCTTCGACGAACCACAAGTCCTCACTGTGTGGAAGCAGGAAATCATCACTCCAAATTCTGTAGGGCGCAGCCGTTTAGATTCTGAAAATTATCGTCCAGTGACTCGCCTGCCTGTGCTCTCGAACCTGATGGAAGCGATCGTCGCTGAGTTCCTAGTGGACTACCTAGGAAATTCCAGCCCCTTGGCACCGGAGTAGAATGGTTTCCGTCAACACCGGTCACGCACAAGCAACCTGCTGGTAGCACAATGTTGTTCGCAGGAAGCGGCCAAGGGTAGGCTCGGTGTCGACGTAATCTATCTGGAGTTCCCCAACGTCTTCGTCCGCTTGGAACACTGCATCTTACTACTTTTGTGTCAGTCGTGGAACGATTTCCCAACACATGTCGTGTTTGTCCCAACTTCCTGATAATTAATAAACGATTAATCGTAACATTATCTCACTCGCGTTTCACTCTATAACTTGTGTTAACCCAACGTTGTGTTTTCAAAATTCTAGTCAACTGCATTTAAACATATCATGCAAACATCTCGGCGCTTTTACGCATGTCACAATGCCAACGTAATGGTTAGTCCACCAAAACGCCTTTCACGCTGTCTTCATGTCCTCTTTTCTAACCGCTTTCCACCCCACGTGGCTTTTTGGGCATTGTTTTTTACCCATTTCATCATTGTTCCCTATTTTTGCGACTGTGTGAAGGTCATTGAATGTGATCATTGTCATCGCCGCAACATGGAAAACTTTACTGTTTCTGTTGATGACATACAGTTTGTTAATAATAGGAAGTGTGGCCTGATTCTCGTGCCCACAGTTCAATGCCTGATTCACATCGTCCGATAACCACGATCGCGGAGGCTACCTAAACCGTTCTTGCGCCAGCTGTACCGCACACTCCCATTAGCAGAACAAGGATGTCGTCCGCCTTCTTTTTGGTATCAGCGATCTCAGATAGTTATGGGAATAACTATCTAACCGTTAAGCACATTAAACGCTAAGACTGAAACACTCGCTATTTATAGGATGGTTTAGTTGTAGAATTTCATAGATCGAGTCGTTAGCTACGTAATTCTTAAGTACAGGGGCTGACGTAATCTCGCACCTAAACATGCCCACATAATTCGCACTACGTCTGCTGTATGCAATGCGATGTCTATTACTACAAGCGCTTCTAATACACACCGTTATTCAATAGATCACGAGGAGAAAATAGACGGGGTGCTAAATCTTTTCACAATTTTAACTGGCGGACATGTAGATTGATTCTCTTGATGGTCCACATTCTGTTGTTACTGAAGAAATGCTTGATTGGCCACTCGAAACACATCTTGCAAACTCTGATGATACGGTCGAACGTGACATGGTTACCCCTGTATGAATGTGGAGTGTCCAGACATCCGATTTCTACGGAAGTTGAAACTTTGGTGACTGCCCACACTACATTGTGTTTAAATGGGAAGTTTAGGTTCTTAAACGGAATTCAGACTGGTCCTTGGACAGAAAGAACTAATTATGCTATACGGACTTCCAAACTGCGAAACATCGTTCTCTTACTAGCGTAGCCTTCATTTCGGTAGGTCATCGTACTCAATCCACGGGTCTTGGCTTTCGCCGCGTTGTTGGTGACAGGTGTGGCCTGCAGCGTTTTTTCAAAAATACTACAACCCATCGGCATGTAACAATTGTGAAGCAGAAAGAAGTGCAACACTAAGTCGTTATTTCGCAGTACGTTCTGAGTAACTGGATTTCGGCCTGCAACATCAGTCTGAATTACGAAATGGACTTTGGTCACTTTGAGTCTGGGAACTAATGACAGGCGTGTAACTGTATGCATCCCGATAGCCTCTTCAGGGCTGCCTATTTTACTAAATGCTTCGGCTGATTACGCAAACCACATTCGGGTATTTGCTGGAGATAACATTTCTATAGCATAGTCCACTGTTCCAGACATACACAGGGGGTGAAATTCTGATGTTTGGTGACATCGATTGTGTAGTGCAAAAGATAACCTTATTCAAACCACGGACTAAAGCGGACAACTGTACAACTCCGGACGTGAACATGTGGGACCTTCATTCGCTACAAGTTGTGCATACGCGAAGGCTACATATATACTCCCTATGGGTACTTTGTTAAGTTAATTTACTGCTTAGTGCTGAGGTGAAATGAAGTACTTATTCATCGGAGCATTTCATCCTAGAGAATGATCATCAGCTACCAACAGTCCAATCAACTGCAGTGCCGATGCAGCGTTGCAGTGAGTCAAGTCAACCCAAGATATGCTTTATTAACCCGGATAAGTGCATTTTCAGCATTTTACGCTATCTACTACCAGTGAGGTAAAACTGCATAATAAAATATGAACCTTTCCATAAATGGAAGCACAGAATGGGATAAAGGTGCATAGACGTCGTTCGAATAAACACTCCCAAGTCTTTGAGCAGCGATCGCATATTGATGAGGAGAATTATAACAATTTTATCCGATTGCGGACGCCAACTTTTGTTAATGATTTTCTTGACAGCTTGTTTCATTTTGACGGATGCGAGTTGTGCGCGGTGTCTCGGCGAATTATTTTGTGGTATCAGCTTAGTTAAACGGTCTAAATGCTCTTGGAAATTGTTCAGCCAAGGAATTCACCAAAATGTCCATACCAAATGGATATGCTCACAGTCGATAGTGCAAAATCTTCGTTTCTGAGCTAACGGTAACCGCTACTTTAATGACCCAGCATTTGTAGTCCTTTATAGATGCTTAAAACAGCGATTTTCACAGGGGAATTTGGGCGGCCATATGAATTTATCGACATAATCAAAGATCCGTTTAAAGGTATAGTTTCAGATGTCGAATGGTCGATTACCCAGAGAAATTGATGCATTTATGAATACTGGTAACCAGCCAATCTCAGCTCGGCTATTGCTCCTGCTAGCAGTATTGTGCAGACAAAACCCCACACATCCGTAGATAATAGTCAAATTATCCGCTATTCCTTAGTTGTTGAAGCCCTAAGCGGAAACAGCCAGCTAACAAAGAAGAAGTTGACGACTGCTTCGAATGTTGAAGTAAGAAGTGAGCTGATTTTTGCTCAATGAACTACGCAACGATTTCAGAGATTTCCAATTTGGTTTTGTTGCAAATCAGCACAGTTTATTTGACTTGAATAACTATGATCCGGACACCAAAGTGCGGTGGATTCCGTTGCCATAGCGAGTGTCACCAGAATAGGAATACATAATAATGGTATAAGAACGAAATTGAATGCGGATAGAACAGGAAAACTGGGCCAGTAAAGTAGTACGTAAAATTAACCGGGATGGAATGGAAATTGACTGCTAGACGCAAAACCAGATGCAGGAACCCCACCGACTGCGCGACTGTGCACGCAATGTCAACCTAATATGGCTGACGACTGTACAGTATTTCAATGGCTTCGATGGGGATGACCACGTATATGTCATGTTACCGTTCATCCAGTTCCGATTTGCCTAAGTTGTACTTTGCACACAGCACTGGTACCACTTTTCGGAGTTGTGTGGCTTCGAAACGATCCTTAGTGGTTACAAACTTTAACACTTCTTAGATATCGGGACGCTAGCTTTAGATCCGAAACCGAACACCTTAAGAATGTATGGATTCAAAGTTAACATCTGCAGTTTCACTGATTACACCTGACCCGGTCTATCTATGCAGATTTTCATTTGTTTGTTCGCCTGAAGCAGTTTTGCCTCACACTACCTTGAAATCCGTGAAGCTGAGATATTGTTGCTTTTCCGCAACAACACTGCCAACTGAATTAGCCCCACTGGTCTTTCATCCACAGTTGACTTATTTCAAACTGCGCGGACTCGGTGAGCCAATCCGCTTGATCTTGCTTGCGGCGAATGTGGACTTTGAGGACAACCGTATTGACTTCACTGAATGGGAAACATTGAAGTCCACTGTTCCTGGAGGCAAACTGCCCATATTGGAATGCACCAAAAGCGGAAAGACCACGGTGTATACAGAAAGTCTGGCTATTGCGCGAATGTTAGCTAGAAAACACAACATGATGGGTAACACAGATGAAGAGTACTATGAGATAGAGCGTGTGATTGGACAGGTGAGTTCACACATCAGTATTTCTTCCTTTTTCCTTTCGACATAATCTATTTCATCAATGAATGCACCGTCAATCAACCAGCTGAACCCAACAATTCCGTTGCATCCTGTTTCACTCCTTATCGACTCCTGGACTTGGCGACTTCCACTACGCAGAATTCAACTATACTGAGTAGCTGACGATTGATGTGATCCGATTTTCCCATTGGTCCCTGAACATTGTCTAGTACCATTCGGCACCTACTTATGTCCCGGTTTCACGTTTAGGGTTACAATCAATTCTGTGTTACGATTGCTCGAATGTATCCCTCCTTTGGTTGCCATACTATGATGGAATCCACCAACTACAATGCGGTGAATTTAGGCATATCACGTTTGTCCTTTGTCTTACATCTACAGATTGGGTGATATAGCTTATTAGCGATGGTTTTGACGTTTGTCTGGCGAAGTTGTACTGGTTTACCGCATTACACGCGACCGTAATCACGCGAGCCGCCGCCTGTTGACGTTCGAGCAGGCTTACAATTTTAGAAGTCATAGTTTTGAACTGATAAAGCGATGTAGCCGATTGCATGGCTATCGGAATTAGTTTCCAAAGTGTGTTCAATATGCTAAGAACACCTTCCTGAAAGACGTAGTCTCCACCTCCACCTTCTCTGAGTTCAGTAATCCAGTCGACTGCACACTGAGTGTCTGACACAAACGCATGCAACTAATCTTACTATCAGTAAGCCAAAATGCGAAATTTCACAATTGCTTTGATAGGAAAACTAAGGATCTCAACGTTGCTCACTGCATCAGATGTTAGGATAACAATTCAGTTGGCCATACATATGACCGGTAAGTGTACAGTTACTGGTTGATTTTGATCTTCTCTTTTTAAACTCCAAACGGAACACTCAGAGGAATATGTAAAAACTGGCATGTTTAGTACCATTATTCCAGTGAAATTTGACCATTTAATTTGGTCCACCACCTGGATCTCCCAAGATCTCTACGGATAGCAATGACCATAGAAGTGGTTATGTCTTTAATTTTGAGTAAAATTACAAGAAAATTGTGCGCTTCATTGATCAAGTCGATAGGATCATGTTGGAGTTCCAGACGTCAGTGGTTCGTTTGCGGTTTTGAACAAGTGGAGTCTGCTGATGGTTGGTGATTTCCCCTCGCATTCCTATTGTATGAACACATGGCGGATCACCATTCATTATTGTAGTACATATGACTACATATGATTCGTAAGCAGACAATTCGATTACGCTCTTTGCCATTTCGTGAAACCGGACTTTGATGTAACATCACGGTGGGGACAGGATTCATCCGCTTCCGTTGAAAGAAAGGAGTGCAAGTCAGCGACGCTGAACTAGGCTGCCAATCTCGTGAATAGTTTGCAACTTTGTGCCGACTGCCTCAGGTTTAAATATATAAATTTCACAAGTTTTATTTGGATCAAAGTGATCACTCCGCTTCAACATGGGTTATCCAGACGATGTTTCTACGAAGACAGCACATTTTTAGTTCCACTAACGGAGAAGGGTGCACTGGCGATTACCTCAACACAAACCCAGCATCGTATCCTGACTACGCAGTGTCGAATTTTGCAGCCTCAGTTTACCAGCTGATCGCCATGCGCCAATAGCGTTAGTGTAGCATTCGTGATGATGGCAACTAACCGCTTGCTTGCAAGTCCAGCGTTGATACGGTTGGAGAAAAGCGACTGAACCAAAAAAGTGAAACAACGGAATATTCAAAGGGAACAAGTGAACAAACCAACGTATCACAGATCCTGTGGATAACTGGGGCCGAGTTTGGCTCACAGCGTATGAGGTTTATTTTTGATGGAAGTGAACATGATGACACTTACTTGCTGTCACGGCATTCCGCGCTCCCAACTGGTTGGCAGGAGCAAATGCATGTGTCTGTGATTCGTGACCACATAGTTCTAATGTGCCGCGGTTAACAGAACAAGGTGCGGCTTTGTGCGTCGCGCCAACAAGGTAGCGGAAGACCGCGCATTCCTGACATGTTTACAGAATTGGCAGACAAACATGAAATGGTAATCTGACCGTGTTAAGACCAGACGTTAGCCGTATGAAGTTGGCGCGTAACCAGACAGCAGAAAGAAACCATGTAAGAAGTGTAGGGTGCACAACGAATAACGCGGGCAGGTTACAACATAAAAAGCGCAGTTGGGCGTGCCAAAGCGCACATGTAAATCAATAGGTTTTGAACCAGCTTCAATCATTGCCAGTTATTCAACACGTGATATCCTCCATCGTCGTGGTTGAAGTCAAATTCCTGGTTGGAAACGCTCTACCGGTTTGCGAATTCGGCTGAACTGTCGAAGAGTGCTTTCATTTGTTAATCCGGTTTTCACCCCCTCCGCTACTTGATCTGTCAGATTTCGGGAGTCATATTCCGCTTCGGCCGGTGTGTCTGTGTCCCGGGGCGTACGTGATCCGAACGTCGGCGGACCATCCAGTCGTCCGTAATTTGCAGCTCATTTTGACTTCCTGCAGAACCGGGTACAGTTGCCGGTTGCCAGCATAGTTCTTGCGGTAGCCGAGTTTATATCGGTTCATCTTCTCCGAATGTGTTTACATCTTTTAGTTCCTCCAATGACACAGACTTTCTCTATGGGTTCGTAGATACCAAATGCAGCACCGTTCTAAGATTTCTGCTGAAAATCTGCTTTGCCGGGAACTTACCTGTGATCTCAGTGGGTGTGGAATGCTAGACGAATAGGATACGGTCCAATTTCGTTTGTAAAGTCCCCACTCGCTGCTTTAGTAGGCCCTGTCTGACCGTTTGCATAGCCCGTTCTGCTAAACCGTCCGCTACCCGATGATACGGGGCAGTTTTAGTATGCCGGAACCCGTACTTGGTAGCAAGCACTATATTCTGCACCGGTAAAATGTGAATCATCATCAGTACACAAGGTTTTCGGGATGGCGAACAAAGCAAATGAAGGGCGCATTTTAGTAATGGTGCCTTCAGACGTCCCTTGGGTGACTGGATGCACATCAACACCTTTTGAATGTGCGTCGATGAGTAGAAGAAACATCGTTCCGTTTATCTGTACAAGGTATTCGGCGTGCATCGATTGGAACGGCTTGTCAAGGCGCCGCCAGGGGTGTACGGGACCGTGCGTTTTACTACATTGATGCGCTGGAAAATATCGCTATTCCTCAATAAATCCTCTATGTCAGAATCAACAGTTGGCCAATCGCTAAATCCCATTGCTAATTGTTTCGCCCTCGCTACTCCTGGATGTGCATTGTGGAGCTCCTTAAGAATCTGTGACCGCGTGTTACTGGAAGGGACCAGCCGAAAGCCCCAGAAAACGCAGCTGTCTAATAGGCTTAGCTGGTTTCCGCGCATTATGGACGTTTGCATTCCGCCTTACTTTCAGATGGCCAGCATACGGTCAAGAAGCGTTTCACCATTGACAGCACTGGTTCCTGGTCCGTCCGTTGGCGGATTGTTGCGCTTCGTATTGGTGTTGTATCTAGAGGTCGCATTAAAGTGACAAGTTTAAATGGAGTAAACTGATCTTGTACTGATTCAGTTGCCAGTTGACGGCTTAACGCATTTGCGGTGCAGTTTTTGACACCAACAGTGTAAACTACCTTGTAATTGTTGGCACCCAAGATTACAGCCCATATTTCCATTCTTGGTGACATCATTTGTTGGATGCCCTTGGTTTCACTCAGTAAAGTTTCTAGGGGTTTATAGACAGTGTACAGCTCAAAGAGTTCCTCAAAGTTACTGGTGGAAGCTTTTACTCCAAAGATCAGAGTCAGCATTTCTCTGTCCACTATTGGTTATGTACGCGGTGCGATGATTATGGGACGTATGGATCTATTGTTTTCACGGTGACACAGCAAAGCTCCGACCCCCCAAGTGAGGTGTCACACGGAAGAATGAGTAGCTTATAGGTATCATAATGTTTGTGGAGAATCAAGGACTCATTTAGGTTTAATGAAGGGTCCCTGTGACGGGAATTCAAGCACCATGGCACATCTTGTGCAGCAACTCATTTAATGGAGATAATACTGTAGATACATTGGGCAGGAGACGGCGATAATGAGATAGCATTCCAAAGAACGAAAAAAGTTCATCACTGTGCTTCGGCTCCGGACTCCTGTACTAGGCTTCACCTTGTCATTTAAAATGTTCAACCCACGTTTATCCAGCTGGTAGTGAAGGTAAAAACGGAGGAGGGAAGGAATTCACGTTTGGATTTCTTTAATTTAAATCCGCTTCGTTCCAGTTCCACGAGCACAAACGAGAGAGTCTGAAGTTGTTCAGTATCACAGCGTCCCGAGATAAGAGTACCGTCAAAAAAGCACAAGTGAAAGGTATATCATTCATCAGTTTGTCGATAATCCTCTGGAAGATGCCGGGAGCGGAATTAATGCGAAAGGCAACTGGACATATTGGAGAAGTCCTATATGTGTGTGGTAAGATGTTAAGCTCCCTGGTAGGCTCGTCGAGCTCAAACTGCGAATATGCATGGCTGAGATCAAGCTTGGTAAACTTTTCATCACTTGCCAGAGTTTCGTACAAATCTTCCAGTCGTGATAATGAATACATTACCAACAAAGATGGTTGGTTGACAGTCTTTGTTTCACCACAAATACGTACGTTGCCGTCTGGCGTAGTCACAGGTGCTGTGGGTGTACCCCCATCAGAAAATTGCACATGGGTAACCATTCCTTAGTTTTCCACTTCCGACCTCATGGTGTATGGTAGTGCGCGCCTTGATGAAGTTGGACCAAGTGTTTTCCTTGAACAGTTTCCCAGCCTAAAATCCTCTCAATTTTCCAAGTCCTCCGACAAAAAAGCGAAATATTGCTTTAGTAAATCTATAAGTTCTGGGACTTCAGCAACAGATTGTACTACCTGCAGTGTATCGGCAACTGAGCGCATCCAGTCCCCTCCCAGCAGATTTGAGTGATCTTCGGAGACTACATACACAAGAAATATCTGTGTCCTGTCGCCGTTTGTGCCTTTACCGAGCATTTACCGAGGACACGTATCGGTTAACCAGTGTAAGTGTGGAGAATAGAATTGCAAACTGATAAGAGCGGCAGCTTTCCACAGTGCTTTCCTTAATTATCATCATTGATATTTTTGTATGGAATTCCATCTGCACCTTTTGTCCCTCAGTTTATAGCTCTAGGATGTACGGTGAAGGCCGCATATCGGGAACCGTATTTGACTATATGGAATGTAATTCAGACTTGCTTCCCTCTGACTCGTCCACTGTGTTAATGACCTTCGTTCCCCGTGAAGTATCGTCCAAACGACCTTGGACCGGACTGTATACTTGTGTCAAGTGAACTTGAACATACTGTATTTTGATGTAGACAATCTGATGGACAACTACAACGCTCTGCACAACGATAGCGTACGTACGAACTAACGTAAGTGTCGTCTTAGATTCTGGAGTGCTTTAAACCAATTGCAAGTCTTTTGGAGTGGACTTTTTTAACTGCTGGGTAAAGTTTTCCTTCTGCTGCGCACGCAGACAGGCTGTTTCCACGTCAGCAAAATATCATCTGGTGAAAGGATTTTCTTCCGGGTGTTCTGGTCTGAAATCCCAGAGATCAGGCACTGGAGCAACGTGGTCTCTTCATACCTAATTAGATCAATTTCATTGTACAGTTTGATACCGCCTGGAGTATACGAGCGATGAATTCGTTTAGACTTTTGTCTAGTTTCTGGGAGAGTTTGGAGAAGAAGTACCTAGCTGTAAACACACTCTGGGGAACTCCCCAATGAGCGCTGAATTTACCCAAGGCACTGATTATAGTGGAGCGGACTTCTTCAATACGACGGATGTCAAAATATCTGTGGCCTTCATCCACAAGGAACTGTCGCAAAAGGTTTAACTTGTGTTGCTCTGAAAGTGCCACTGAAGGATTCGAGATGGGAAGCGACTCCAGAATACTGAATGCTAAGAAAATGCAATGAATAGAGATATCTCTGTGTGAATAGGACTAATATCTTTTAAGTAAAGCTACCTATTCTGATGATGCTTATTCTCAAACTGGCAAGTCGACAAAGTGTGAGTCAAGGAGTTTCTTAAATTCCAACACTGACTTTGCTTTGACCATGTCTGGAGACAGGTTGTTCCATATATTCACCTCTCTCCGCTCGAAACAGAGTTGATGAAAGACAAGCTTCAAATGTGGTACGATAAGTTTGTACCGGTGTCCTCGTGTACTGTTTAGTGTGCGCATATACGCAGCAGCGGCCTCAAAATGGGGTAATCATGCAAACATAATATCCAGTGCATCGTGATGCTGTCACCCCGCATTCGATGAAATGACAGTGTGTACAAACCTAGTCGTCTGCAACGGTCTTCCTATGGCATGTCCCAATAAAAGTTTTTCGCCATCGATTTCAATTGTCCAAAGACAGTTTGTCGGTAGAACAGGACCAGCAGATTTGTGGACTGTTCAGAGAAGACATGTTTTCTCACTTCCATTAGCCGTAGTAACTTGGCGCCTACCCAGACAGCAAAAGGAAAACGTGTAAGAAATGTAGTCTACTCAACAACTAACGCGGAGTCGGTTACAGCATACCAAAACTGCAGTTGGGCGTGCCTATGCGCGCATGCGAATGAATACTTTTGAAGCAGGTAGCGGGGAATTCTTCTACCCCACGAACATTGGAATGAGCGCGGTAGAGCAGACGACGGCGGGAATTCGAACGCTAAGCCTGTTCTACCCAGGCTTTTCGCTCAACTGCAAAGAATCTGAGCGACTGTATGCCGTCTGTTGCCACGAAACACCCTATGAAATCAGATAAACCCGACACTACAGGATATTAAGCGATTACTCCATGTGCTCCACCATAGTTAATGAAGGCCAAACAGGCAATTTTGGAGCGTCCTCATGTCTTACGAGCACAAAATGACAAAAAGCTGGCACGCAAATAAATCTGGCAAATAAGGTTGCGGAAACTTAGGTCTTGACGTTGCATCCTAATCTAGAATAAGGTGCAACAATGACGTTGAAATGCCGCGAAGCTTTCTTACAGAGATTCAAGCGTAGAACATATGATCCTTGCGCAGGGGCCATGCCAACATTTATTGTATGTTTTCAATTATAGTATATACGCCGACTGCGCAAGTACGCCAGGTAACGTACTCAGAACTCGAACCCCGGTGGCATGGCTTACAGGCCTGAACCCAGACCACCAGGCTATATTCGGGCTATCCGCACTCTGTATAATTTGCTGAAAAATCGTCCGTCAATGCAACCTCAAAGCAACGATTACAAAAACCAAAGATTTCCTCACATTTTCTAAAGCTTTTATAGCTTCCCAAAACTGTTTAACATGGTTTCTACATTTACTTCCCCGGCTTCCGCTTACTTTGGTCGTTACAGGCGGTAGAATTATTGTCCCCAACCATAAAACCAGCGTCAGTCATTGATCGTTAATCAACTGGTGACAAACCGCAATCTGTTCGGTTATGAGGTTGGTGTCGTTCAGCTTGAATGAGCTTTATTTAGTGAAAGTATTCAAGGTTGGGATCATTCATCATGTAATGCTTTGTAACGAGCTCAACAAGTAAGTATCAGCCATCCAATTACATTCAGCTGCTGTTGGAACGAAGAACGTCGGAGCCCTTTAACACACTTCGTTGCCCGGTTCGGTGAATCTCTATCAATGGAGCAAACAGCATCTCTGCTAAGTTACCAAGCTCGGAGTACATTGGGCATAGAAAGAGTGTGTGGTCCGAGATTCAACCATAACCTCCGCAAGAGACCGTTTCAGTGATCCTCCTGTTTGGAGTTTCTCCGGAAGAATCTAAACAGCTCTAACCATTCTGCATGTGCTCACCGATAGCTTGCTGTTGATCAGGGGTTTGACATTTATGCTCACCACGTCATCCAACGTAGTCATGTCCGTGACATGGGGGTATCGATCTGCAGTAAAACTACCGTATGCTAACCACTCAAGTCGTCAGCATACAGAGGTGGTCAGCATACACAAGCGGTCAACGTGCAGAGGTCTGGATACATGAGGTTTGCGTGGTGAAAGTTTAAGTAATGCAAAACCGTTTAACTTAAAGGAGGTGGGCAATTTTTGAACTTTCACTGTATACCTTGTACGGAGATCCATAAATATTCCGACTAATCTGAGTCTCCATCAAGGTTACATTCCGACTTTAATTATTTATTCCTTTTATCTTTTAACACAAGTAATTGTCATTGCCAGAGATGGAAATCTGGGGTGATCGTTTTCACCACACAGTTTGTGAGCCCCAAAAATCAGCGCCCGAACTTGTGGTTTCTGCACATAATTTGAGTCAGGGCGGTTGGTGATTTTCGAACCACTAAGTTCAAATGTCGTCAATAAGTTGTCATGGTTTCATTTCAGATTGGATTGTTCCTGTCCCCAATCTGACCTTGTAGAGCGGGATGAGAGGATTTAGTTTTCATACTGAAAATTCACCGGTTTGCACTGAACTAAAGTTGTGAAGTTTTACCAGTGTATATGCCTAACTTGCTCAGTTGCCTTTGCTTCATATAATCCGAAGAATAACGTGTGATTTGTACTATCCGAATGACGTGTGCTATTCTTCAGTGCGTCGATATCAATCGGGAGATGTTGTCTGTGTACAGAGCGTCTGGAGAGGAAAAAGTGAAAATACTCCAGGCCTTTAGAGAAGAGTCGGGCCCTCGGCTATTGACAGTGAGTTTTGTCACTGGATACCTAATTGCATTTTTAAAGTTGATTTTGCCATTAATTGTAGCAGCACAAAGTGGAAAGAAGTACAGTCGGAAGATATGCAATGACATCTATCAAAGAGGTTGTTAGCTCCTTCGAGTTTCCAGTGTAACAACTGCGTATTAGTTTTACATCAACCTATCCCTTTGTAGCGGAGAGGTCATCCAACTTGCCAGTAAAGTCTACCTAGCCGCAATATTCGTAATGCATCGAGAAGCATTAATCCACGCTAATATTCATTACGTGGACCAACTTGAAACGAATTTAGTAGGTAGGAGCATCCTGTATGGATAATTTTGCGATAATTGCTTTCCAACCGATGATTTACTCTCGTGCAACTTTACGTCATTGCCACTCAATTCCCAAATGGAAGTTCCCGCTTAAGCTCCTACTTCTTAACACCCGAGTGTTGATGCGTCGCCATCTCATCGCATTTAGGTGTCAGCAAGCCAACTCGTCTCTCAGTTTTCACTTTAGAGCATGCTGATTACCGTTTACTCAGCATTCAGATGGTGGTCATTATTCAGTCCGTATGCTCAACGTGGCTTGCTCAGAAATAATCGCAACACAACGTCAAGTCAGATTTGTCAATAAGTGAACTTCCCGGAGGTTCAGTTGTCCATGGACTGTGCTTCCGGTTTTCGGTTTCCTGATAATCTGGTGTTGATGATTAAGCAGAAATACACTTACTCTGGTGCCAGTTTCGTTGCATCAAATTTTCTAACCGGACTTGTCAACACATTCTTGCGGACTGACGCATCCGGATCCAAGGAAGTGGGGAACACATGCCTTCATTAAAAACATATTTATGACCCAGCGAAAGGCGACTGCAAGTTTGCGTAGCCTCGTTCTATTCCGAGGTCGGCAGCACAAATGAACTTAAGATAGAACGTGATGGGCATACTATAACGGTGGGAAATCGGGGCATGCAGAACATTTGAGTTTACACGGATGGATATTTACGGCCAAAACGATCGAAGTGTGGACGTTGTCTGTACCAACCTGACTGACCGATTCGTAGGAACGCGGGTTCCCATAACAGTTCTCATCCTGTGCAGTGAATACGTATCATGTGAATGTTGGGACTGACAACTAAAAAAAAAGATGACGGTGGATAGCAAAGTATAAACAGGTATTGGTGTCCGGTAATAATGGATATGCCCTAGTCGAATAAACTGTCTACTTCGTGGCGCATCCGGGGCGCATTTTCAAACAGCCTACCGACTTAGACATCGACACTAGTAATCAACAAGCGAGGAACATTAATTTCGTCGCACAACATACTCATGAAATATGTGAGAACAGTTCTCGCCGTTGGGTAAAAGTGTCGTCTATGTAGGGCTTATCGTTCTCTCTCGCACATCACGATAAACAGTTTTATCAGGGTGTTGCTTTCTAACTAGCATATGGTTGAACAGAATGGTTAGTTGCATGGTTAGCTACGCGTTGTTAGCGTCCAGACTTTTCCTTGGTTAATTGCATTTATAAGTACCGTAAAGCTCGTATACAACGTCCACTAAAAAGGAAGGATACAAGAGAATCTAAGAGGTAAATCACAAAGAGGCGATTGTAATACGAAAACCGGATAAATTCACATGGACTGTATAGTTGGACGAGAAATAAAGTACTGTCAACCTATTACGAATGCTTACCAGTTAAACCGTGTTCTTACGCAGTCGGAGTGAGTACAGTGTGCCGAATCTTAACGGTGCAATTATCTTAGGCCCTGTGTATCTTCAGAGATTCCTGTGGATACTAATCCATTTTGTGGCACAGTGCGGGCGTTGGCACTAGAACGAAAATGAGCACTGTCTGGAAGAGTGCACCTAGCTGTTGAGGTAGCAAGTTTAGCCACATCGTATGGAGTAGTAGCCATTAGCACAATTGTGCCGAATCACGCCGGTTGCATTTACTTCTGGAGTTATTGCTTTGGAGATAAGCTAGCTTGGTGCCACATGGCAAGCAAAGAGAAGAAAGTAAAACCGCTCTATCCATCAAGCTGCTTCCTACCACGGTCCGCCTCAATTCGTTAAGTTCCCTTTCCATGCAGAACCTGGTAGAATTGGTTAGATACTATGCATAACGCAAGCGATGTATCTACACTGCCCTTACACTCTACAACAATGCAAATCGGTTGCTGTTTTGGCACATTTACCAAGCGGAGCACTTCCGTAGAGCGAGGAATTTTCTATTCCATAGAGCACGGACTTCTGCTTACTACGTGACAAAGTCAAAAAACTAGCCTTGTGAATGCGGCCAGTTTCATTTTACTGGCTATGTACAATCCTGGTTAAACGCACAGTACCTCGATGCCCAACCTGAATTGGAGGTCCGTGTTTTCAATAAAACGAATATGCCCAAATGGTGCAACTATACTGAAACTCATTTCGTGTCCACCTGCTTGGTTCAACAATTTGGATTCGAAAACATCCAGGCTGAGCAAAAGGAAGCTACTATGAGTTGCGAGCACAAGTGGCTTACACACAGATCTCGCTCCAATGCTGACGTCTGAGGTGAGCCGGAAATCACAACTGCAAACTGACTGTTCAGTTAAGTTGTCTTCTGAAATGGGGAATTCTCGGGGATGAAACTTATTCCCGGGGTATCCATTTTGCTAGAGTATGTTTGATGTCTTTTTCAGATGTTTGTCCATTTCAAACATGCTTGTTATCTCTCTACCTGAGTGGCACCACCTAGCTTATCTAATCGGCAGACTGGTTCTTAGACAAATTATATCCACGGCCCCTCCCGCATCGTATACTGCCAGCAAGCATTATTACGGCAACTGCAGGGAATTTAAGTCTGCAGCAATGGATGGTGTATTAGTGTGTGTGAGATAGAAGCGACACAACGCAAACTCAACATGAGTGTATCCAAAACAATGGGAATAATCGGTAGGGTGTGGTAGTTCTCAGAAAGCTTGTTCGTGATGGCGATGATAAACTAAGATTTTATTGTACTTTCCAAATCCGTCCCATAAACGCCGATTCGTCCGGTTGGGGACCCGATACACGTAAGTCGGACAGCCTTGAATTGCTGCCCATACTGTCGCGATGTTGTTTTCAGTTACACGAACACACCAACCTTGTTAATATTTCCGCACTTATTGAGGTACATTCTGGAGGGTGCCTGAGCTGAATATATCTGCGGAAACCAATGATGTACTCTGGTGTCGTGCGCTTCCAGCTTCTGTGTTTATTCACAAAGTGTGTCAACTATGTGAACCGGGATGCAAGTTTATTGGAGGTTCTTGACTTCCGGAGACTCTGTAAGCGCAAACGGCTTTTTCGCTGCCAACGAATTTATTATATAAGCAATCAGCAAACTTTTCCGTGGTGTTGTCCATAACACAACCATGGAATTACCACCGTCATTGATAATGGTCAAACTGGTTCTGCGGAAAAGACGCAAGAACGTTGTCATTGACGGCGAATTTTTGCGCAGATGAACAATTGGTTGAAGATGCTTCATCGCCCAAGTTAGGTGAGCAGCTTCACTGAGATTCGAATTAAGGGACGCAAGGGCTATGCGAACATCTTTTAATAAGCATTTCTTTCTTTCACTTGTGGAAACACATATGGATTGTTTCAGTTATAACCTGGCCCCATTCAAAGAGGATAGTTTATGGTACTGATTGATCTTGCGGAAAACAGAGTGTGTGCGTAGGAGAAAGGAAGCGAGACAGCGGTATCCTACCATTTTCCAAAGCGTACTGCAATTCAGTTTGAATTTCGCCCGAACGTAGTACGATCAGTAACAGAGTTGTGTGCAAAACGCTTGGTTTCTCAATACCATGAGAAAGTCCGAAATTATCCTTTCGAAGTAAAGTATACCTTAAGCTACCGGCATTTTATGAGACCTTTCTATTTGAGTACATCCATTTTACACTGTACACATATCAGCGTAGCGTTGGTAATCATGAAAGTCAATTTTACTAATGTCTTTCTCTACCGCAGTTAATCTGCGAGCAACTGGATTCCTCCTCGAGCGGCCTCGTTGCGGGAAGCACACCATCCTTGGGTGACCTGGTCATCATTTGTTGTACCGATCAGGTGGAGGTGGTCCTGCCTGGGTTCATTGGTGAGAAATTTCCGACCATTCAGAAGCATCGGGCGCTAGTTCTGAAACATTGTCCGAGATTGGCGGAATATCTGAATACTCGAGAATCCTATCCCATTTGATTTCACTTGAATTCACATAATGGAACTGCCTTTCTGTGGGATTTCGATAATTTCCCCCTTATTCTTGGTGGTGTCACCTCTGATCTTGCAATAAATTATAATGTATGACAAACTATTGACTGTTATTGTTTAGAGTAGAGTGAATGACTGCTGTACATACCTTATAAACACCGTAAACTCCACGGGAGGTGCGTTATTCTTGTTTTCAGTGTTTAGTTGCGTTCACTCAGCAGGTCTGTTCTCCATATCATCGGATCGAGGCGGTTCCCCTAGTCCTTCTACTACCATTCGAAGTATAATATTTCTCGCATGCATATATGATTACCTCCTAGCTATTTAGTCTGTGTAGCGCTTTTGACACAGTCTCGACTGTTCGACCCTGATACCTGCAACATTTTCCATTTGTGGGGATTTTTTAATTGGAATCGTGTCGATGGTTTCATTCCCAAGTGGCATTTGTCAATGCCCACCTTCATATGCGATTCACTTAGACACCGATTAGTTTGATCATAAAACATTGTGGATAGAATCGACCGCTAGTCGTTCAGTAGTCGCCTGAATATCTGCATTGCACGTCCCTGGTAAAGCACTGTCTGGTGAACAAATCTCTTCTCTAAAATGGCTCTCCAACCAGCCAGTAACCGTTGTGACTAGCGTCGCCGGCCACGACTAGTTGGCATAGGGGTAGAGTTTCCAGATGACATCCCCCACTTTGCGTTACAGTTCTGCTATCTGCCTGACGATTGCAACCTAATTCGAAAGGTGTCGTTAAGCTCGACGTTGCGCAGGGGTAACACCCGATATCAATCTTCTAATCTACTCCTCATTTGCATTTTGCTGTCTTCTAGCTCCGCCACGACATTTGCTAATTTTAGCATCATGCACCGTTTCGACTATGCAAATGGGTTTCTACGATTCCGTATTCACGACGTGACTAGTGTATTCAGCCACATGCATTGTTAGACGTCGCACAGATTTAGAATAATCAGCATATGCAATGGGACTACTTGCCAGACCGAAAATAGACATTTAGTCAACCGAAATGCAGAACCCGAATTTCAAACAGAATACACCTGTCAGCTGCGCACTGACCTCAGCTCAATCGCGCATCAGCTGTGGGGTGCTCTGATGTCAAACGATGGAAATTATCCGAAAGAGTTGATAGTGCAATTCATGTAACCAGAAACCCGCCGGTTGTCAGCAAACAGTCGGGTTCAGTTGCAGGTCCCGTTACTAGGCATCGATAGACCAAGGGATAACTAAGTAAAAAGTTTATTTATCGATGTAAATAAATGACGCAATATATAAATAATGCAATGAGAAGCTGGAAGTTGCATGTTGATATAATTTCGAGCTTTTTGCTAACATGAAACCGAGGAACATAATGAACTATCACTGAGGGTAATAAAGAAATAGTTTGTATTTTGAAAGAGGAGGCATCTACCAGCACAGACAACAGCAAAATCACCATTAGTGCAGCAAGTGTCACGGTCCCCAAGGAAGGTTGTATAACGGTCAGTTGCTTTTGCACACAAAAGTCATGGCTGTTGCGATTAATGTCCACCGCCGTTTAATTTGCGCTAGATACTTGTAAACGCCAGGTCCGGGTCAATCTGGTGACCCGTACTTAGGAAATACTTTGCGATCGGTGAGGTTAGCGTTGTGGAGCTTGACGCCTATCCTCGTTTTTGACCTCTCGTAGTGGCATTAATCTGTTTCGGAATATGCTCTCCGATCCGCTTACGTAGACACCGATCAGTTTTACCGATGTAACTGGTCTGCAGCTACAGACAAAGTGGTAAATATAATGTGTTGTGGCGGAGAGCGGTTGACTAAGCTTGATCGGAAGCGTCGGTAACTTCCTGATTGTACAAATGGGGACCTGTTTGACAGCATTGAATGCCTGTCGAATTACTGAGATCTTACGCCGCTCAATTTCTTTGCCACGATGTCATTTAAAAGGGCAACTGGTGATAGGTATTTTTATACCGTAGCTGGTCTATGTTTGCCCTCAGCGTCTACCTACCAAATTGTAACTCAAACTTTAAGCATTCGGGGCTGCATATTCGACGAGCACGTTAGAACAAGGTTTTGACGAGGCAGCATTTGTAGTGGACAGGCGTGAAACTGTTAAAATGTTCGTATAGTCTTGTCCAAGTGGCTTTTCGGTAGAAAGCTCGTCGTAGCGATCTGTCTGTTATTATTATAAGTAGCTACCTTAGTTTGTGGAAGCAATTAGATGGGTGGCGTCAAAAGCCACGATATTCTGCATGTCGTAGAGCTCTGCGATGTACCTCCATTCTTTGATGTCGTGCTTCTGCCGTTGACTGCTATCGTCATGCTTCAATTCTGGTACACCATGAACCAGTACCACTTTCTTCATCTCATTTTGACGTGACGAACTAGGGTTGGATTTCCTCTTCTGTCTTTCTGCTCATGACCTGTCAGGAAAGATGCGGGCACTGACGGAATTCACTAGAATGTGGCTTGCTAAGAGAACATCTTCCAGGTCGTGTGGGTTGCCAAATGTTACTCGCAGTAACCGAAGTTCCCCTACGTGTGGAGATGATGTATTTCGTGAAAAGCGTGTAAGACTAGTTGGGAGAACTTTCAGTCCGAGTGCGCAAGTTATTTCAGCCCAGCGGTTTGCTCCTCGGCTTATCTACCTTTAAGGGCTTCGCTAGTAGGTTTTGGGACGTTTGAGCATAACCCTGTCATCGTCTTTAGGTTGCGTAATAATTTTTTGTTCTGCAGTTCCTTGTGAGAGTAGGTTTGTCCTGTGGGAGCGTCTGGCTTGCCTTTGGTGGACGATAGGCCAAGACTACAGTAATATTTTTACGTTCAACGCAGTTAGTTGCACTCTCTGTAGCAGTCAATTGTTGTTGCAAGGCTACTGACGGTGGTGACCATGCAATTTGTGCGTAACTCTACATGCTTCGGAGTATTACGTGAGACTTGGGAGACCGTGCAACCGGCCTGTTTTCACTGCTATTTTTAGCTTACGGGGTTTGCGTTTCGCTGGACTGGGTTGCACTGTTGCTAGAGAGCTTTTGCCTTTTAACAGCCCGGGGATTCAGGCCACCTAATGCACTAATCTGCTACTCGAGTTCTGAGATTTTCCCTCCCAATACCGCGATCAGTTCCATTTGGACTGCCGATGTAATGTCAGCGTTTCACACCTTATCGTAAGCGTCTGAACAATCTGAATTATCGGACTATCTGAACATAAGTCACAGAAGCATAAACTATGTGTCCATGCGCTGTTAGCTTCGTTAAGTGTAATGTTCGCATTTGTTGCGTCGTAGGAGTCAGCACAGAACGAACACGTGGTTTTTGAAAGGATCTCAGTTCCCCGCTTGTCTGAGCTATGATTGACTTTGGGTTTGTTGCTCAATGGATTCCCGGTTGTCAAATTTCTCCTGCCCATTGATCAATGGTCGCTATGCTCTTTTAAGTTGCGTTGGTCACGCCGTTTGGGCTGCCTCAGTTGTTTGTTCCGGTCAGCGGGCTTGGTGGTGGTGCGTCACTAGCGCACGAGTAGCCAAAATCATACAGGCCTTGTTCAGTGAAATGCCCGTAAAAATATCGTGGTAACGTGAGATGATAAAAATATCCGTACCTATGGTACACACTGGTGCACAGTAATAAGTTATATATTGCGTGACTGCCTTAAAGAAGCTCTGTCGAATGGTATCCCAAAGGTACTGATGAAACTCAAATAAGCTAATTTACTCAAGTTGGCCTTAGTGAATAGACTTACGAAGATTTTGTTTGTGGTGTACCAGCATGTCGTTAGACTTACTTCAAATAAATATACCCCGTTAGATAGAGCTCGGTGATCGGAATGGATTGAGCGTACTTCCGAAGAGGTGGCACAAGTATGTGATGGGATAAGTCCAATTTGCCACAGAGCACAGGATTGCACGATTAGCGCGCTTACACTGACAAGGTCATGTATCAAAGGATTAGTGCCGAATTACTTGACCAACGCACTCCTTCCCAGTTCCGAAGACGTCTTCACAGTTTATTAGCCGATCGCAACCTGGACAACACGTTATTCCAGCAGGTATTACTGAAGCGTTCACCTACGCAGGTATTGGTTATCCTAGCAAACAACGCTGACAGTGTTCCTTTGAGGCAACTTGCTGGAATCGCTGATGAGATGTTAGAAACCTAACCTAGCACAGCTGACATCCAAGTCATTGAAATGTACAGTCTACCAAGCTCGATTGATAACCGTTTGCAGGGATTGGCTAAACAAATAGCCGCACTTCGATTAAATCGACCGACACGATACCGTCCTTCTCGTGCTCATACATCTGTTTGTACAAGAAGCACTTCTTTATCATGTAGTTCAACTATTTACTGGTATCATAATAGCTTCGGGCATTCAGCTGGTAAATGCACTCGACCCTGCACCTTCCGTTAAACGCAGCGGCCTGATTTCCCGCCGTATGGTAACGAATAGGCCAGATGTAAGAGACAAGCACCGTTCTTGCCCAACAGCATTCCAACTCTCGCAGACTCACCGTCCTAGATCAGACCACCGGTTTCTCTTTAGCTTGTCGATACTGGTGCTGACATCAGCGTACCACCTCCAACCGGCTCTTTGGTTATCCGCACCCTATCCTCGATGTGCTTAACAGCAGTTAAGGATGCCAGTATTAAAACTTACAGTCAAGGAACCTTACGACTCAGCCTTGGTCTACAGTGACCATTCAGTTGCATATTCATTATCGCGGGCGTACATCAAGCCATATTAGGAACGGAGTTCCTGACATCTTTCAACCTGTTAGTGAATCTACGAGGCAAGCGTTGGATGGAGGTCAACAAGAAGCTTTATGTTGCTCGTAACACAGTGTGTACATCACCCATCGGCCTCATAATCATATTGCTCTAGAATTCTTCTCAATACTACAAATTCCTTCATAGCTTTTCTGATCTACTAATACCAAATTTGCAACAGTTAGCTACCATACATTTTGTATGTCACCACATCACTACCAGCGGTACCACAGTTTTCTTCCGTCCGCGACCTCTACATCCAAAAAGACTGAAAACACTTTTAACACATGCTCGCTAGCAATAATTAGACCGCCTCAAAGCATGTAGG